TAGAATCGTGTTTATACCGCACACGGTGCGGATCAGTCATCTAGTTAAAAAATAAATTTGATGTAAAAATGTTTTTTTTTGTAGTTGAATAAATTTTACATTCGGGTTTTAAAAAAAAAAGTTTAAAGACATTATATTTTTTTGCCATAAATTTAAGACATCTAATTTTATTAGAGGAATTAATTTGTTTTTTTTTTTGGGTCAAAATGTGTGTGATCTTTAGCAAAAGCAAAAAAAAAAAGAGTGTGTTGAAAAATGCGAGAAAAATTATAAAGCTTCATTTGAATACACAAATGTGGGATGAGTATTTTATATGCATGTGCATGTAAGTCATAAATAGATAAGATGAGTTTTTGATGATGTAGGTTCCTCGGGGACTGCTCCAATTCTCTGACATTTAATTATTTCTTATTATTCAACTATCAATTGAATGCTATGGGCTTCCCTACTTTTATGCCTTAAGAGAATCAAAATCACACCAAATTTTTAAAAATGCATTTATATGTAAAATAATTTGATTTTTTATCGATAGGTTTACAAACATGATATGTACACTAAGCGCAGCGGCACAAACAATCAAAACCCTCAAACCTACCATCGACTCATCAAGCAAATGACCTCTATATTTTGTGGGTCTTATGTGAATAATAATGTGATCAATTTAACAATCTTCTGACCTCGTTTTCAATTGCAATTCTATCTGTTTTGATCTCACATATCTGTTTTCAATTGCAATTCTATCTGTTTCAATTGCAATTCTATCTGTTTTGATCTCACAAAACCGTTCTTAGTAATTTACGTTTATATATATACATATCATATGCTTACAATTACTCAATTGAGTAACAAAGCTTCAACTGATTTAGTTACCCACTGGTAAAGATATTAAGAGTTAGTCTTCTGTTACATGGAGGACTCACCATGTTTCCAGACCAATCTATATTGGTTCTAATGAAGTCAGAGATCAACCTTAACCGGATATCTATGGATACAATGTTCCCAAGGACTGTTAACCGAAGGCTCGACATCGCAAAGAGCCACCCAAACCGCACTGTTACATTTAAACCCGCTTCCAAACGCAATCTGCCAAACTCGGTTCCCTTTTCTCATTCTTCCTTTAGCTTCCGTGTAAGCCAATTCATACCAGATCGAGCTCGAGGAAGTGTTTCCAAATCGGTGCAATGTCATTCTTGACGCTTCCACATGTTTTGGCAAAAGCTTTAAACTCTTCTCTAGCTCATCGATCACGGCTCTACCTCCCGCGTGAATACAGAAATGATCAAAGGCAAGCTTGAAATCCGGTATGTAAGACTTCTTGTTCTTGGCGTTGAACAATCTTTTAGCCACAAAATTCGCGAAAAACAGAATTTGTTCGCTAATTGGAAGAACCAGAGGACCTAAAGTGGTGATATTCGTCTTTAGAGCTTCTCCAGCTATAGCCATTAGATCTTTAGACAAAGAAACTCCGGTTTTCAAAGCCTCGTCCTGTTCTTGGTACACACAATTGAATGCTTTCTCATCAGATCCTTTATGAGTCCTTACCATATGAACAAGTTTATACTTTGATCGTTTTCGATCAAGAGTCTTGTTCGAGAGCAGAATCGCTGATCCACCAACTCTAAACAAGCAATTAGGGATCAACATTGCTTTCTTGTTACCAAAGTACCAATTCTGAGTAATGTTCTCTGTACTAACCACAAGAGCAAATGTGTTTCTATGTATTTGTAACATATCATTCGCAAGATCAATGGCGATAACACCAGCACTACATCCCATTCCTCCTAGATTAAAGCTCTTGACGTTTCCTCTAAGCTTATACTTGTTAACAATCATAGCGGATAAAGAAGGTGTAGGGTTAAACAAACTACAATTCACCACCAAAACACCAATCTCCCTAAGGTTGATTTCCGTATTCTCGAAGAGATTGTCGAGTGCACCGAAGATTACCTGCAAGGCCGGCTCAAAACATATTAAATGATTAAATAGGTTGATTAATCGATTTAACATACTATTAGAGATTTTTTTTTAAAAGTCAATTTGCGCGGGACATCCGAAAACATTGGACCGACTCTGATTACCTGTTCCGCTTCTTCACGCGCCGCGGCCATAGTCGTACGAGGAGGGACACAATGAAGAGCTTCCGGGAGGTAAGTCTCTTCTCCGAGACCGGATCTCTCCATGATCTTCCTCTGAAACTCAAGCGAAGATTCGTTGAAATCTTGAATCAGTTTAGAACGATCCATGAATTTCTTGTAGCTAACTTTGAGATTAGAAGGCGGGAGGTAACATGAGTAGTCGACAAGGTAAACCGATCTCGGTTTCGACATGAAAAAGACGACGAATCCGAAAATCGCTACGGTTATGAGGAAGATGAATCCGAGGAGATTGTTCTGGAGGTAGTGGAGACAAAGCTGGTTTAGGCTTAAGAGAGACATGTTCGTGAGCAAAACCACCATTGAAGGGACCAATAAAAGCTTCAAAAGGTGAGATATTAGGTAGTGATAACCCAATTTGACGTAATTCCGGGTCCGGGTCTGTAACGGATACTCCATTGGAGATTAAGTAATCGAAAAGGAATGATCTTTCGAGATTTATTGCTGATTTTTGTAAGAACTCGAGTTTGTTTATATACAACAATGTGAGAGAAGAGAAGAAAAAATCGTAAGGGTTTGTGTTTACTGTCACCAATTTCATCTCTTCTGGGTTGGGTGGAGTTTGATATAACTGAAAAACAGAGAGAAGTCGCCATTGATGAAATACGTGGAGGTATTTGGCATGATGTGCATACGTGTGGAGAAAAGATGAAAGCTTTTTGTTTTCAAGATTGTTTTTTTTAATAAAAAAAAAATATTGAAAATTCTGAAATCGATTCAAATCTAACTCTCATTTGTTAACAATCTTGAAAATTTGAACTTTTGTTGCAGATCTTGAGAAGAAAATAATTCTTCACGAGTATGGACGTATGGGCTTGGGCTTAGGCCCAATTGTTTCTCAATCTAGTTGACCTGACGAATTGATATCTATCTGTCTTTTCTTCTCTTTAGTTTTTTTTTTTTGTTGTTGTATAAAATGTAAATATCATTGAATTATGAAAGTTTGGTTTTACAAAAAAAGCATAATCTATAATGTATACTCTCTTGCCAACAAAAAAAGAAGTAAAAAACAAAGAAGTACAATATTTGGTTGTGGGAAACCTTTGTGTTTATCTAAACCAAATACACATTAAATTTTTGTATTCTTTGTGTGTCTTCCCTTAAATCTCACGGTCAATTCCCTTAAAATTTGATATAGAATTCTTTATCTCACAGTCAATTCCTTTAAAAATGTTTTGAGCTGGAATAGAAGTGTTGTTATGAAGAACGTTGTTCCTCTGTTTCAGAAGTAAAATAAAACAATTTGAGCAATCAGTTTACGGTATTATAGTGTTTTTCACCAAAAATAAAGTGTTTTTCACCAAAAATAATCCGAGTTCGAACTTGTTCGTGATCTCGAGTTCAGATATGTCCAAACCTATAACCATAATATTATTCTCTCTGTTGACGGTGTTTGAGTTTTGGATATTTTTGATTTTTATTTTTAGAATTGTTATATGTCACGGCGGTTGAATTACCAATGTGATAATTTTATATTTTTAGTTTTCAAAAACTTGTTCGATAAACATTAAGAAATTGTCAATCCA